GGATTCCCTGTCCTCGTCCATCCTCATGTGAACGTTTCTTTTCCACGGTTTCCAGTATTGGTGGCACCTTAACATTTTCTCTAATCCGTTCGTTTCGGATGCAATCTCTACTGGTTCGGCCAACTACTCTTCTCAGATATTTCATTCCGGCAGCGGTAAGACTACTTTTGTGCCTATCTAGAAGGACCCAGCTCTCACTACCGTATAGTAGGGTTGGAAGCTAGAGTGTATTGTATATATGGATCTTAGTTACATTTTCCACCTCTCGATTTCCTAAGACCGTGTTGCAGATCTGGTAATCTTTTGTCCGTGGCTTTGAATCAGGTAAGTCACGTGAGTTTCCGTACGTTCGGAACTACAACACCCAGTGTTTTCTGGACCCCCATCTCTCGATTGTTCACCGAACTAGCCATCCGTAGGGATTGGTTACCGCCACCTCAGGCTGGGTTGCTAGACTTGGTAGGGTCCACCGCGCACAGGTGAGAGAGGAATTGTGGTGGAGAGGCTATGTGGTATCTTATAAATATCATATATTGCGCATCACACCATATTGGACCTTTCGTTAAAACTTAACCATTGTTAAAATTTGGATCCAGTTGCTCCAAACAATTTTTAAATTGAGTTATTAAACAGGGTATTAGCATGTGACGTATGCGTACTATGCCTACGCTTACACCGCTCGTCCTCCCCGTCCCGTATTTGGTGATTTGCTCCAAACGGTAGTTCACGAATACTACTATCTCATTGCGTCCAGGCATCTCCTCTGTCACCGTGTATTTGGTTTTCGCCTTGACCTCAAGCCAAAGTTTCCTTTGGCTTGCAATAGATGCGTACTCCAATTAAATATTGACTGCCCAACCTGCATGCTCTATTCTGTCACCGCCTTCTCCTGAGAATTATTGAACAAAAGGCTTGTGGGGGACGTCAATCTACCCTAGGCTAATTTGCGTTCGAAATTCAGCAACGCATACTGAACACAGCATGTCATTCATTGTCAGCCTTACCATATGTATAAGCTTCTGAGAGATCTAGATTCTCTATCGCTGGATCAAGTTCATCACGATTATTACTATCGTATGCAGTCTTAATATCAATGAAGATATAGTGTGTATTTAACTTATACTTATATCTTCTTTCTATTATGGTTCTTAGGAGAAGGGTTTGGTTGATAATCGATTTTTCGGATCGAAATCCACATTGGTAAGGACCAATTGCCAACTAATGTTTAGAAGAGTAAAAATCAAGGTCAATAAAACTATCAGGTTCGCCCACTCAGAGGGAAAATGGTGGGGAGGAATCGAGCACTGACTTAACTACTAGACCGATAATACCCCTGTGGTCCTTGTTTCTGGACGTTTTAAGATTATTATTAGCTTTCTACATGCAATCAATACTTTGAGGTTTAATAAACTATTTCTTTATTAATATTAATAAATTTAAAAAGTGAGAGAAGATTCATTTGCTTTTTTGTTTATTTTAAAACAAATAAAATGTACTTTTAGAAGTTTTTTTTTTAAGAAATGCAAAATATCACATTTGTTTTTGAATATCTGAAGTAAATATAAAAGAACATTTATTTTTAAAAAAGTATTTAATCCAAAATTTAAGAAGCGCGTTCTTCTACGAATGTTTGTAAATTTGACATTTTTATGTTATAATAATCCTAATGTTAACTACTCCCTCAAAAAAATAAAAATAAAAGTTAAATAAAGTATTACCCATCTACTCAAACATATTGTCATTTTATTTTTGAAAAAAAAAATTCGGAGGAAGGGTTAATCCCCTCTTCCACTCACAAAAAATTGTTTAAAGTATCACCCACCAACCCAAACATATTGCCATTTTATCTTTTAAAAAAATCGGAGGGGAGTTAACCTCTCCCCCCCCCCAAAAAAAAATATAAGTAAAACCAAGTATCACCCACCTACCCAAACATATTGCCATTTTAACTTTTCAAGAAAAATTCGGAGGGGGATTAACCTCTCCCCCCCCCCAAAAAAAAAGTAAAACCAAGTATCACCCACCTACCCAAACATATTGCCATTTTAACTTTTCAAGAAAATTCGGAGGGGGGTTAACCTCTCCCTCCCCCCCAAAAAAATAAGTAAAACCAAGTATCACCCACCTACCCAAACATATTGCCATTTTAACTTTTCAAGAAAAATTCGGAGGGAGGTTAACCTCTCCCCCCTCCCCAAAAAAATAAGTAAAACCAAGTATCAACCCACCTACCCAAACATATTGCCATTTTAACTTTTCAAGAAAAATTCGGAGGGGGGTTAACCCACGTTCAAAAAAATATATGTTAAAACAAAGTATCATCTCCCTATTCTTACATATTGCCAAGAGGCGCACCAGAAATTTGGTATCACCCAGTTATTTTCAAAATCCGTATATATGGTTTAATATAAAATATTTGTAATATCCAATATAAAATGATAGAGAAAAAAAAATATCAGGATTTGCAGTAAAAATTTCTTTATTTTTTAAATAACTTAGATATTTTTTAAATTTTTTATTTAAAGAAATTTTGACTGCAAATTCTGACAATTATTTTCGTTTAGAAATAATAGCGATTTTTACAAATAAAATTAAATAAAAATTGTGCTATTGTCTCTAAATAATTTTAGACCTTCGTTTTTTTTTTGTTTTTTTTTTTTTGTTTAGGCAATATATTTGTAGATTTTTTACAGTATAGGACTTTGAAATAAATAATTTTAAAATAACCTTAATATCGATTCCCTTTCAGGTCAAGCCTGTAATTTTCATTGCATATTATTCTAGATCGCTAGTCGGATTTATTTATCAATTGAAAGTATCTTTAATCAAACATCAAAAACACAGAAAGGCATTCTTTTCAATAAATTAAACAAGGAAAAAAAAGCACAATAATGCTGAAATAAATCTTCATTGATAGACTTGAAATACACTGACAGGCAAAAAATTCCACCCACTTGATTTTTTCATGTTTTCATCTACACTGATAGGCAAAACATTCCACCCACTTGTAAAAAAAGTTGTATTTGTATATAATACATGGTATTTGTAGATAATACTTAGTATTTATGGAATTTTATAATCTTTTTTTACCTTTAATAATCAAAATGTGATTGGGTAAGAAAGATTAGAGAAAAAAAAATTGAAAAACGAACCATTATTATTCTAAAAGAAATTAATTACATCATCGTTTAGTAGCGCGTGTTTCTTCCTCTTGCCTTCACTACTTCTTGAAGACGTCTCGGCATACTTTCCACCAGTCGGGAAATGTCCCTTTGCTGGAGGATAACCCATTCCTCCCGAAGAGCCTTTTCAAGGTCCTGCAGTGTATCAGGAAGTTTTGCACGTGCTCTTATTCGTCTTCCGAGGTTATCCCATAAATGCACAATGGGGTTCAAATCTGGAGAATGTGCTGGCCAGGCTAAAACCTCAATATTGTTCTGTTGAAGGAACGTCTGCACTGAGTGGGCGACATGTGGGCGTGCATTATCGTGCATTAGAATAGAATGTTCGCCGATTTCGTTGAGGATAGGCAACACACGAGGTTCCAAAATCTCACCTACATAGCGAATGGCTTTTAAAGACCCTCCACGAACAACAACCAATCCTGTGCGGCGCTCCATTGAAATCTCAGCCCACACCATTAAGGAACCACGTTGGAAAGGTTGGCTCTGGGAAAAATTACAGGCTGCATATCTTTCGTTTCTTCTTCTCCACACCCTTTCATGCCCGTCTGAAGATCGAAGAGCGAATCTTGACTCATCTGTAAAAAGTACAGCACTCCATTCGTCCATAGTCCAATGGCTGTGTTCTCGAGCAAAAGCCACCCGTGTTACTCTGTGAGTTCTGGTCAACTCTGGTCCTCTTACTGAACGAAAAGCCTTTGATCTTCTCCGAGCGGTACGTTCAGAAATTTGCACACCTCGAACTTCTTCGAGCTGATGAATTGCTTAAACAACGGTAAGGTGCCGGTTTCGTAAAATTCTCAAAGTCAAAAAACCGGTCATCCCGTGTTTCTGTTACCCTATGCTGTCCAGAGCCGGGCCTTCTATTGTAAGAACCAGTTTTCCCGAAAACGCCTAACGGCGTTACGTAAAGTTTCATATGGAACTCCGATGGCATTAGCTGCATATCTAATGGAACGTCCATCATCAATAAGTGCCACACCACGCGCAACATTTTCAGCACTAAGAGGCATTTTTAAACTTAATATTGAAAAAATTAAAAGCCGGAGACTAAGAAATGTGCTGTAAGAAACGGCATTGAACTAATGATACTGAATAAACATTTTGATTCCATAGAAAGTAAACATTAGAATCTAGAATCATTTTATTAAATTAAGGATTAAGGGTTATTTTCCGCTATATTAACAGTCATAATTTAAAACAAACAAAAAGATTACCTATTTATTCATTAAAAACAATAGACCAATCCAAAGCAGAACTATTTTTAGATGAAAACATGAAAAAATCAAGTGGGTGGAATTTTTTGCCTGTCAGTGTAGTAATAGGTAGTTCTGGTGGTCTAGTCCTTACGCCACTTTTCAAGTTCCCCCACCATGCATTTCTGAGTGAGTGAACCTGGTAGTTTTATTGACGTTTGGTAAAAATATTAAGATATGCAGTTGCTTATGCTTTTTATTAAGTTTACCAATCTTTCGATTCAACCATGTAGGTCATCAGGGTTAACAATTAAACACCAGATACAAAAATTACATTAGAAAAATGAGATGTAGATAAAAGTATCTAAATAAGAGAAGATAATAGCTTAAACATACTTTTATCTATATCTCCTTTTTCTGAGTTAATATTTACTATTATTTGCTAATGTATCGAAATACACACAAACTCTAAAGATATTTAATTTTCTTTCTACTTTTAGGATTTCAATGGCTAAAAATCTTCAGAAACGAAAAACGTGTAGATCCCAGTTTTTTCGGTCTTTCCTTTTATCTCGTTTGATTATGCAACTTTAGTAGCCTACCGAAATACTACACTTATACCATTTCTTGATAGTTCATTTTTTATTTTTACTATCATTTTTAAAACTCTCAAATCTGTAACTAGTCTTACATGAACGTTTACATTAGACACGTGATGTCTATATGAAAGTATTGTTTGTATCTCCAACTGAAGTGTACACACTTCGAATATTTTGATAAACCATTTTTATTATAATTTTGAAGTGCCATAGCTATTAAATGACATGGCATTGGGATACGAAATCAGACATTGTAGTGATAGAAAAGTTAATATTTTTTTAAAGAGCGATTTACGGGTTTCTACATCAGTTTTCATAATTTCATGATCTTGTTGACAGGGAAAAGGTCTTTTTGCCACCAAGGATTTTTCTGAAAATGAAGTCATATTTGAAGAAAAACCATTAGTTTCTTGTCAATTTGCCTGGAATGAAACTTATGGCTATTTGGCATGTCATCATTGCTTGAGGTAAGACATCTGTCTTGAGGTCTTCTAGTGAGTTTAAATAAGTAAATTAATATAATCTGTATTCAGGCTTGTTTTTTTTAAACTCTCAACTATTCCTTTGAAATCGATTGCATATATTTCAAATTTATGACTATGAAAATGTTTTCATATCAGTTATTTTAAGTGACCAAATAAAACAAAAAGGCTATTGGAAATTGATTGTTATTGTATGTTATTCTAAAGAAATCTAAATCTAACTGTTTACAAGTGTTGATTTAATTATTGGTGTATCAATTAATATGTAATAGGGTCATTTTGTGTTGACATTTAAATTTTAGCTGAGGAATTGATAATTAGTTCTTTATTGGCTGGATAAACTTTCCTAAGAAGTGTTGGTTCAATTCCCACTTTGAACAGTTGACATCCATTTTGTTAGAGATATTTGAGGAATTTTACACTTCTCTACTGGATGAGGCTTGACAGCTACAACTTTGACAAATTAAGGGCTCCTTAAAATGAAAAGTTTTACCTATACAATGCTAAAAGGTTTAGATTTAGTACCTGGTATGCCAGTAGGTTTTTCTTATGTTGAGAGGATCACGCTCTACTATCATCCTGGTACATACCTATAGAAACTGTATGTCCAGGAGAATCTCCGCTCCCAGACAATTCACAGCTGATACAACATCTGCAGATATGTTTAAAATTTTTATACAAAATGAAGGTTTGATTGACCATCAGGGGATAAAGAGAAGGGACATAGCACATAGGGTTTCTTTTTCATTGAACTTTGATAAATGTTCTTAAAGGACCTCTTACCATTACTAAATGATGATAACCAGGAAAAGAGGTTGGAGCAAAAGAGAATCATATCTTTAATGTTGTCACTTTGTGCATTGATGATAACTAGAATAAGGTTTTGCAGGATAAGATTATTGGCAGCATCTAGCAGTGCTATCAAGCAATCTATTGTACGTAGTCAGTATGTTTTGATAGATTTTACAGTATCTCCATTTTTGTATTTACGTCTATTATTTTCTTCATACAACTTCATATTCCTTTTCTCTGTTTTACATTTTATTCTATGATTATCCCACTTACTTTTAGCATTCTATTACATCATATTTTAGCAACTATGTCACTCCAGTTATCTTTTGTCTACACTAACGTTTTTTTTTCTCATACATTTTTCATTTCTTATGTTGCCTTATTTTGATTATATTTATTTCATTAGTCCCTACTTTGTTGCCATTATTTATTTCATAGTTCTCTGTTACTGTTATTGTTATAATTTCCTAACTCTGTTACCATTATGTTATATATCCTAACTTTGCTTTCTCTATTTTACCCTTAACTTTGGTAACGTTATTTTATATTTCCTTTAAATTTATTCTACCTCCTTATTTTACTTTAAGTCTTTTCTGCCTACTTTATTTTACTTTAAGTTTATTCTATCCCGTTTAACTTTACACCTGATGAATACAAAGCCTCTAGCTATCCTCTTATGGAAGTTAATGGACTGCAAAACCACCGTGACGAACTAGACATATTTCTCCATGGCAATTATATTGACATTGCCCTCCTGACAGAAACCCACTTCACTCAACGGACACATTTCTATATACGTGACTACATTACCTATAGATCTGACCACCCAGACAACACTCCCTACGCCTGTTCTTACATCCTTATACATAAATCTTTACCCCATTCCCTTATTCCTTTTATTCCAACTGATGCCATTCAGTCAACTTCTGTAATCCTTTCAACCATCTAACACTTTCAGCTGTATACTGTCCTCCTGGTAATGCCCTTTCTTATGGCCTACTTGAATCCTTATTTCAATTCCTTGGAGCTTGCTTTATTGTTGGAGGAGACTACAATGCTAAACACCAACGATGGGGTTGTTGAACATCCAACTCCCACAGTAACATCCTATCACGTGTCTCTTCTTCCAACAGTTATTCAATCCTCTCACCCATGAATCCTATATATTGGCCAACATCTCTGAAAAAACATCCCGATATCCTGGATATATTTATCACCTCCCTGATTTCCTCCTCCCAAGCCATTATCAAATCCCTGGATGACCTTTCTTCAGATCATAGTCCAGTTATGCTTTTACTACATTCAAACTTTGCTCCTAAACCTTCACCTTCTAAACTGATTATAAGACGAGTAGACTGGGACGAATTTCGTGATGATCTGGAAAATAAACTGGATTTAAAAATTCCGCTTAAGTCAAAACAAGATATTGATAAAGCTATAGAAAAACTTACTACTTCTATAACAATGAGTATAAATAATAACACATTTGTTAATAAAAGCAATAATTCACAACATATCAACTTACCACAACATATTCAAATCTTATTAAGGGATATTAAACGCAGAGCAAGAGCGAAGTGGCATAGGACTAGATATCTTTCAGACAAAATGTACTATACAGAATTGACTAACAAACTAAAATCAGAAATCACAAATTATAAAATTCAAAAATTACTTAACCTAACTGAAAATATTACAATGACTGACAAATCACTATGGACGACAACCAAAAAACTTCTGAAGTTTAAAGACTTTAATCGCCCACTTCTTACTGAATCCCACACCTTGTCTAAATCCGAAAAAGCCCAAATATTCAGTCAACATCTCTTCCAAACTTTCAACCCAACCCACATCCTGATATTCTTAATCCTACCCACATCGAATGTATTGAATCAGAAGTGGATACTCCTTTCCAAATGTTCCTTCCACCTAAAGCATTTCATCCTACAGAAATATTCAACATCATTCACAGATTACCTTCCATCAAAGTTCCTGGACATGACCTAATAACATCCCAGATCTTAAAACTTCTTCCTCGAAAAACCATCCTATTCCTTACTTATATATATAATGCTGTACTCCAATCCATATATTTTTCTGATCCTTGGAAAATATCTATTATCAAAATGATTCACAAACCCAAAAAGTCACAAGAATATCCATCCTCTTACCATCCTATCTCTCTTTTACCCATCATGGGAAAAATCCTGCAATAAATTAACTTAAAATGCCTATCCCTCATCCTAAATTCTAATCACATAATTCTAGATCAATATGGATTCCGCTCCTCCTATTCCATCATACAGTAATGTCATCGTGTGGTAGACGTAATATCCTCTGCATTGGAGTGCGGGATGTACTGTATGGGAGTCTTTCTCGATGTTGAACAGGTTTTTGATAGAGTTTGGCACCTGGGACTGCTGTACAAACTCCGAAAATTCCTACCATCTACACACTTCCTCATTATCCGTTCCTACCTTACAAATAAAATTATCCACAATAACCTTAATGTTCCTTATGTTTCAGATTTGGCTTAATCCAGATATCTATCCTTCCATAATAAACTTCATAACCATCCCTACGCTCTTGTTTTTAACCTTGCTTCCTATTCAATTCCTGGTAACCCTCCGAGGTGTCTGAAAAGAAGATGGCTCCGTGATCTCCTAATGTTGACATATTATTAGAGTGCTATCAGTGGGTAATTTCTCAACATGTGTTTCATGTCATTATATCCATGTACGAATTTACTAGTTGTATTTTTTTTTTTTTTTTTATACAGTTGTAAATATCATAATACATAATAAAAAAAAAAGTTTATTCTACCTACATTTCTTGGACTATACCTTTCACCTACATTTAATTTTTCTTTTTAATTTTTTAATGATAATAGTTTCTTATACCTATTGTTATCTGTTTTTTTCGTGGGCCTGATGGCGGCAAAAATAAAAAATAAATATTTTTATTTATTTTTAATTCTTTTGACTGAGCATCCCAACCATTCTTCTCTTCTATATTTCAAAATTAAAAACAGCTAATTTTGTTGGTCATAGTATGATAAACTATCAGAGAGAGTCAATTTGTGTGATAGGAGTCAACATTTAACAGTAATCGCTTAAGGTTTGGGAAGATCAACTCGGAGAGTGGCCACCCTTTGGCATATGCAATTATGTGTACAAAATAATTAATGCTGTGCTAATCCACTCATGTATTAAACTTTGATAAAAACATATATTCAGATATAATCTAGGAAAATACAAGTTCAACCAAACTCAAGGCTTTGAAGTCTTTTCAGTTTATTTTATTTTCGCTTTTGTGATAGGGGATTTCATAAAGTTTAATCAATAGTTAGTGATTGATATATCCTTATAAAGATGGGTATGTAAATTGAAATTCTAGAATTGAGTATAATAACTCCATCCAGCCCTGCATAGCCTTAAAAGCAGGGTAGAGAGGAAAATAAAATAAAAATAATGGTAATATATGAAAATGATAATAAAATGAAAACATTTTAATTTTTCCATTTTCATATGATGTTTTTTATTTTGAATATTTTCAATTTTTATTTCTATTTTAATCTTATCAGTTCCAAGTATACAACTATGATATTTTATGTTGTCCTACAACTATTCAATTTTGTTTTATCTTTTGTGTTTATTTTCTTATTCATAAGGCCTATGGAAGATACGGAAGAAAATGTTAGAAGACTGACAAATAATCCAAATATTGTTCTGCCGTTTCCTGAATTATGCCCGACTAATAAGAGCCTCCATAGATATTGTGACCAATGTGGGGTTAGTAAATTAAATTGAATAAGTTCATGAGTGTATCAGAATTATATTTAACATGCTGCTTCGTTTAGGTTGGCTTTTGTAGCGACTCTTGTAAACAACAATCTTGGGCTCAGTATCATGAATATTTGTGTTTTGGGACACATCCTGCCCTTAAAAATCTCTATGAAGCATGGAAGTGAGTATTACATATTTTTGTCATCAAATTTAAGACTATTCAAATAACCTTATTTTTCTTTATATATTACTAAGGTTACTTAGTAAATAAATGATTTTTTTTTAAATCATTATTGATCTGTAGTGCTACAAAACAAAATCTAAAATCATTTTTTTCTTATATGTGCAATGTCCAAATAATTTTACTCTATATCCATTTGTGATTGCAATTTTTAGAGTTGGTTGAAAAATAACAGACTGTGATTAAATGTAAGATACAGATGATAAATATTCAAGACACAGCCATTTTGAAATTTTTATCGGTGCCAACGTTTTAACCCAAACATGTGGGTCATCAACAGGGCGTGTTTCGCTTGAATACTGAAAGTATACATGTACTCGGTTGAGTACTTGAGTACTTGAATACCTTAAGTAATCAAAAGACGTCCTGATGATGACCCACATGTTTAAGTTGAAACATCGGCACCAATAAAAACTTTAAAATGACTGCATCCTGAATATTTATCACCCATGATATATAGAACAGTCAACTAACTTCCTTCAATAATTCATTAAATTTAATATAAATTTGGACCCTTGGATTTAGAGAAAAAACATCTAATTTTATGTTGAATCAGATTAGTAAACTTGTACATATTATTCAATTATGCAAGTTCCACGATAGGTTATTAATACAATTTTACACATTAATGTACAATTACTGGTTGTTAGTGATTTTACACTGATAAACAAAATCGAAATATCACTTTTTAATTTGTTTACATTTTGTATTGAAAGAAGATCATTTTAAATAAAAGTTATAATTCTAAAAAATATATGATGATAAACAGAAGTCTGGCCATTTTATGGGTTATGGAAAGAAGAGATACCACAGCCGGATGCAGAACTCTTAATTTCATTTTCATTGAGCCTTCAGTTACTATCATTTCTGATTTGTCTTATGAATAATTTCTTAATCACATTTCTGTAAAGTGATTTTTCACAAATTATGATAAGTGATATATCTCAATATCTTATGGTGAAAATCTCGATTCCTTTGAAGTCCCAAGAACCCTTCCTATCGTGAAGTAATTATATGAATCTGGCTTTTCAAAAACGATGTAAGTGTCAGAAGTAAAATTTTACAGGTAGAAGGAAAAACATGTTTTGCAAAGAAAGAAAAATATTAAGTAGGTGAATAACACATTCAATTATTTTCGAAGTAGGAATTGTATCTGTTATTTAAAAATTAAAAATTCTCATCAGTTTACATTAAAAAAATGTTTTTTTCTTAATTGCAACTTCAAAACATTGCAAGTAACTGCACGTAACCATTAGGAAAAGTTCATATTCCTTCGTCACCTTATGGAGCTGCGTTTGGTGGAGTTTCCTGTTACATTTCTTGAAAGTACTCTCTTACTTCATCCTGTAGGTAAGACATCATTTTCCTGATGTCCTCTTTTTTCCTTTTCTGGCAGGCCAAAGCGTGTTCTGTTAAGAGGCATATTCATATTTTGAAAATTTTCCACAGTCACACCTTCGTTTAGGATGCTTATACTTCTGTCCCAGTTTCTCAATTCTTCAGGTTTTTTCAGGCCACTTGTACTTTACCGAATTCTGCAACTGTTATTCGAAGCTAGGTTGAAGATTAAATTCCGAGCTTCTTTGTATTCAGAAAGTCCTGGGCTGTTGCCTCGAAATCGTATAACTCTTCTTCAATTATATACGTAAATTGATTCTTATGGGGTGCACTTGTAATTACTATGGCAATATCTTTCAGAGTGTGAGCCTGGCAAAGTTTTTTTCTCTTCTCAATCAATGCTAAAGTTCTAAAGAGAAAAGTATGGCCTTTCACAGGAAATTTGTGGATAATTTCAGAAAAGAAATTATTTGCTATGAGGACCAAGTACATCACAGTTATCTGACCAGCAGATAAGTTTCTTTTTTCTCCTTAGATTAGCCATCGTCAAATATTTATAAACATGCATATGATGAAATTTCTTGTGAGCCCCTTCCACCAAAGTTTTCAGACCAAATACACAGCAACCAGTTCCAGTAACAATGTCTTGGATACCGAAGTTACAGCACACAACTTGTGAATAGTCATCTCAGAGTGAGTTATTTGTTTTTTTTTTTGGCTCCTCACCTTTAAGGCTATACGGGGTTTTCCCTGGCCAGGAAGTGTGGGCGGGAATTCAACAGACGCCCTTGGCACCGGGATTCGAACTTGTGACTATATTTTAGCATTGTATCATATATCAAGTTGCCAGGCAACGGTGGTGCTGTGCACACACGTTAGCCCGTTCATCCACCCTGCCCAAGAGTGAGTTAGTTGTGGGATATACATTTGTTGCTGTAGATCAAAAGTTATAATATGTGCATCCGAAGATTTAGCATTTTTTCATCATCACTCATTGCCTTAAAGGCAGATTCAGCTTGTTGTGGCAGATTCAGCTTGGTGTAGTTCTTGGGCAACTTCAACTGATGTGTCTCCAGCCTTCAAGTTTAATACAAAGGAGTCACAAGTTGAGCATATATCAACTTTTATTAATTGAAAGGAGAGATTAAATTTTGACCAAAATATCTTGGGGCATCACTGTCTGCTGACTGGGGGCTTACCAATATGGTGTAGAGCATATTTTTTTAAAAACTACCTATACATTCTGCTGACATTGAGGTCAGGTGACAAAAAAAGTTGATTAGCGTTTTCTTTCTTGAGTAGTGGCTCTCGTAGGTTGGAAAACTTTTTTGTCATTTACATGGTTTTTCAAATTTTATCATTTACAATGTTTTGGAAATACACGATTTCATATTTGACCCAATCTCCTGGCCACTTCTCAAAGGATGTACTCTTCTAATAGTTTTATAAGCCGGACACTATTACTTTCACTTATTTGGTTGACTGCATCCAATTTCATGTATCAGTTCAAAACTGAAACAACTAAAAAATTAATAGTTTTCAGTTTTCTTCTGATATATATGGCCTGTAATCTCTTCTTCATAGTACAAAATGGCACTATTTCAAAATGCCGTCATTATCAGTGTAAAAGTTTATGTTCCACTATGAATATTTCTTTTAATTTTTTTAAGTTTGTTCAAAACGTTAAAGCTCGTTTATCTCAAAACCTGGACTTTTGAGTTGTTTCAGTTTTAAACTGAGCCATTGAATTGTTAAAATGTTGATAGTTTTATATTTATTTGTTATTTCCCTGATAACTTTTATTTTAATGCTGCATGATACGTTTAGGACAATGCATTATCCTCCAGAAACAGCATCTGTAATGCTAATAGCCCGAATGATTGCTATTATCGAACAAGCACAAGACAAAGATTCAGCAATTTCTGCCTTTTTAGAGGTGAATATTCTTCAGTAAAGTTTATAATTTCTGACTTCTAAATATGCACTTTAATATTCTAAGGAAAAATATTTCTCTGCAGTTTGCCCATGGTACATCTGAAGAAAGGGATGGGTCAATTCTTAAATTTTTGGGAGAACAGTTTTTTGAAAAATTTGAGTGCCTACGTTTATTGATGTCAGATATTTTTCAGACATGCCATGCACAATCAGTAAGTATAAACAGGTTCTCGATTAATATTGTTACTTCAAAATAGGCAGAATATTGTATACTTTAGTAACTAAATTTTACATGAACAATAACAATATATGTGTTTTTTATTGAACTGTAATTAAAAGTGTAAACCATGAATTCATTATCAAAAACACCTTAATCTATTTCATCTTTCCTGAAAAACTACAAACCTAATTTTTTGCTCTTTTGGTAATTATGGTTGCTTAATTATGATAATTTTCCTATTACATGCTAAGTTTTTTTTTTAATTATTATAATCTTCTAACTCAGTAGTATAATTTCTTTTCTTGCTCTCAGAAGTGATGGATTGGGACAAATAAGGTGTTAAAAAGGAGGATGAATTGAAATTTTCAATTTTCACATTCGTACTAAAACTTTATTGTTATTGTAAAAATTGGTGGTTTAAAAACTTTGATGTTGATAAGTTAAAAGATCTGTATGAAACAAATCTGTGTTATAAAATTCAAGACCCGGTCTTCCAAGAGTTATCAGGCCCCTATGTTTTAAAGACCTAACATGATTTTCAAGATAAACAGTAATTCTTGCTGAAAACCTCTTAAGTGCCATCCTTGACTTGGGATATTTGTCACATGTCGTTTAAGTTTTTAAAAATTAAAATATGGCTATTTATCTTAGCCTATTATGATAAATTTATTCTAAAGATAATTATTAAATCTATTGAAAAGATAAGGAACTGTAGTTGGACGGTGATTGGTGGAGAGAGGTGTGTAAAAACCGATTTGGTGGGGTCGGCATCAAATGTTAGGGTTCGTTAAGCCTTTTCTAATATCGAAAAGATAAAATGAGAATAGTCCTGTTCTCATTTAGGCATCTCAGATAGTATAAAAAGAAACTTTTTTATATTTTCAATAAAAATAAAACACATTTCGTGAACATATTATAATTTTCTTGGTTCTTAATTTACTGTAGCGGTGATGGAATTTTTATCCTGATATGGCTTCTATATTTCACTCTTACTAAGAGAAAGTACTACGAACTCTTCTGCACCAAACCCATAGATCTCGGCAGGTATCATACTGTTTTAATATAAATGTACAGATTGCCTAATCTTATTGTCTCAACTGTTACGCTGAATGGATATTGTTCAATTGAGCAAGTTAAGTTATTAAGTAAACTCTTACTTCAATATTGTCATGAAGTATAAAGACGAGGTAGAGATATGAAGTATATGATGAGGTATGAAGTAGAGAGACAACTTGTGTTTAATAGGTTTTTTGATATTAATATAACATTTGGTGGAAAGAGCATGTTTCCCTACTTCTTATACTTTGAATTTATTTGACAAGAATAGGTTTCTTAGATAAAAGAAGAGTAGGTTTCTTCTAATTCAACAGTTCTTGTATGAGTACACCTCGTCTTATAATAGTTCAGATAAATTACATAATGTTTAGATAAAAATATAAACAATGTGAATAAAGTTATTAAAATTATAAACAGTGTGAATATCCATTACATAGAAATATTATGAACAATAAACAAAGTAAAAAGACCCTAAACTGAAGTAAATAAATGATAACAATTAATGTTGATTATTGGAACTAGAGGAAAATTGAACGTAATAAGGATGATGGATAATATACACAATCATGAATATAATCCTACAGATCTCGAGGAAATATAAGAAATAATGGACATAAAAGGAGTGTGAAATGAACGATAAAATAAAAATAGAGACTCAATTTTAATTTATATCTATTCCATAAAATAATTAATTCCTTTATTTTTAGTTTTATCCTTGTTTTTCATTGATTTAGTTCATTTTATGGTATGCCTACTCTAAAATATTGTTTTTTAAATACAGAGATTATAAAATGATTTGTCGTTTACTTGAAATGTTAACTCATTTTGACATGATTGTAGCTTGTTACAGAAGAAGGCTTGAAAACACTCTTTGCAATTGCTGGAAGGAATAGTCAAGGCATTGGATCGAGTGTATTTAGTATTTGGGTAAAAAATGTTGAAAAGTTTGAGTTGTCTGAAGAAAGCAGGAAAGAAATCAATGAATTTATTGACAATGTTTACCTTAGCATGGATCGCCGTGAGTTTTTAATATTATAATTTTATATATTATAAAGATTGAATCTATCTACTAATATATATTTTTTTAATCTAGATGTTGGTTGTTTTTTAAATAATGAAGGTTCTGGTTTGTACAGATTAGAAAGATGTATTAATCATAGTTGTTTACCTAATGCAAGTAGTACATTTCCATATGGAGATTATACTTTGGCATTAGTGGCTAAAACAGCTATATCAGCTGGGGAAGAAATTTGTATAAGTTATCTAGACGAGTGTGAATTAGAACGAAGTAAACATTCTCGAAATAAACACTTAAGGTTTGTTTTTCTTGCAATACTTTACTATCTTTCAGCTGTACGATTTATCAAAATGTAATAATATTACAGGGAGTACTACTTATTTGAATGTGAATGTGAGAAGTGCTTGAAGCAATCTGATGAACCTGATGTGACAAGTGAAGAAGAAACTGATTCTGATATGGATGAAGAATGATTAATCTATAAAAATAATAATTATTATTATTCTAATAGATTAGCAAAAGTTATATCATCTCAACAATTTTATTTCTTTTACGAGAAACAATAAAATAATTATTTTAATAAGTTATTTTAATAACTATTCCTTTTTTATTTTTATGTATTCTGAATAATATTTCTACAAGTTTATATTTTATCTACGTGACCACCAATAATGCACATGTTTTATTAAATAAAATAAAAACTATTTACTGATATGGAAAGCACTATATTTTTCTTGCTGCTAACTGGGATTGTTGAAAAACAAAATATTGATTGTTTTGTTGACTACCCTCCTTAACAGTCTTAGCATAAGCAAGACATTTTTTTGTCAATGTATTATATTCTTATTATATTTTAAATCTTAATAATTCAAGGAATAATACTTCCTTGGGTTACATAAATCCTGTAACATGAAGTTTTTGACCATCACGCCTCATTTTCAGGTAATAAAAAAAAAAAAAAAACTTCAAATCAATCACACTATTATTAATTAATACCTTTTTTGGAAAAATAGCAAACTATTATTTATATTTTGATTTTCACTCTTTCCTCCCTCCATAATTAATAAACTTATTGCTGATGCTATAGATTTAGGTATTTATAAAGTAATGAGCTGAAGTAGTTGATGATGTTTTAACTGTAGCACCTGATGAATACTTCTTTAGATAATTATTTTTTTAGTTAGAAGTGTAATTAAAATCTTTTTATTAAGTAAACTTGAAATTACAGGTAATTTATTTTTTTTTTTTTTTTTACACAAAATATTTATTTCTATCAGTGTCACATTTAAGGAATTGATAAATTGACTATTTTTTACGTATCAAGAAAAATAAAATAAATTGAATATGATTTTTTTGATAACGATATATTTTATTTTAATGAACATGTAATTAATTTACTGTTATGGTTCTTCCTTGGTAAATTGATTGGTTGGTAGTAAGATGAAAATCTCCGAATCATTCTTCTTCCCTTTCACTACCAAATGTTCCATTTTTATAATCGACAAAAAACAAATTAACAGATTACCATCAACATTACTCTTACCAGCTAATTATTATGATTTTCTAAATAAAAAGTAAGGTATAGTTTACGCAACATTAAATAGCTCCGACACTGCATAATGGTAAATAATTTCAATTTCTTAAAAAAATTTTATTAATTTCAAGCAATATCTACACATAGAAATAAAAAAACACATAATAATATACAATTAAGATTCAACAACAATATTTGGGTTTAAGTTGATAAGTTGCTGGCTATTTTCAGCAAGTTCTGCAATTGAGACTCGTCCTCTTTGTTTAACAAATTTTGCAACTGCCTCCAATTCCTTTTGTGAAATATAAATGAATTTTCCCCGGTCATCAATGACACCTGAAATAAGAGGAAACAAATGTCAGAGTAATATAACTAAAGATAATAAAATATTTATATTAAAAAGATTAAGAAATACTGTGTCTACTATTAACCAATAGTACTTCTAGTCAACTGGCAATGGTTGAAGTTTATTTATTTTAGTTGAAATCTTACACAACATCGGATGAAATATGAACTATCTGGCAACTGATACTAGTAAATTAGGATAAGATCAAGGGGAGAATCATAAATAATATTGCCAGTAGAAAGTAAACAGGAACTTTTGCACCTCTTATAGTTGTACAGATGTTTAGAATCATTCAAACGAATGAAGTTTGTGACTTTTTATGGTCAAAAATATTTTATGCTCATTATCTTTGTAACTATAGTGCTTTGGGAATACAACCTTGGAAGGAAAGGGTAGGTTCGAAAAGATAAGGGCGTTTGAGGAAGCTATGAACAAACTATCCTCTAGAGAGAGGGCACATTTGCTCTTTCAATTAGTTATTATCTTTTGACTATACTAGGTTTGATCCCCATTTCTACTGCTAATTACTGTATTTTTTTATTTTACACTCCTTGATCAAGGATTTGATTTGATTTTTACTTAACATTATAAAAAACCAGAAGAAACAAGCGCTCAGTCAAACATATGTTAATGAATGAAAAGACGAAGAAAAATAAAACAAAAGCTACCAATAGTGCAAAGGCATTTTTTATCAAAAACCATAATGACTCATATAATCTGGCGACCTTTCATTAAAGATCTTTTGACCAAGTGGATTTTTTTTTTACCAAATGTCCATTTGTTTTGAAAGGGAGTTTGTAAATAAATATTCTAAAAAGGCAATACGTAGAAATATTTTGGAGCCACAAATAAAAGTGCTTTTAATTTTTTAATCTGAAAACAGCAATAATGGAACCCTGAAATTTGAAAAAAGGAAGTTATTGCAAATGCTCTCGCACCTGAAAAAATCATTCTGCATCCTAATTTATCTAGCAATTTTTTCATCTATCTTTATAAAATGTGGCTTCAACTAACTAGAAACCTATTATAAGAGGCTAAACATTTGGAAAATGGACAAACCTTAAATGGTAAATTTCATATCTTTACCTTTTGGAAGGAAGTACTAACAATGAATGTCTATGCCTCTAATAGTAGAGGGAGTGAGAAACAGGCAAACTGTAATGTGGACAGCAACTGTTTTGATGCCTTAAGTGGTTGTGCAACTTGATCAACCAATCTAAGTTGGTGGATGAATAGAAAAGTAATTTAAAAATTCTTTCTGGAACTAAAAAGTGAGGGTTAAGTGGGTTCCTGGACAGTCAGGAAATTTAGGTAATGACAAAGCAGAAAGCCTTGCTAGGAAGGCAAACATGCAACTTAAGGGGGTCATGAGGTAAGAACAGAAGTACACTACGTGGCATTTGGGTATTGTGTTACCCATTTGTTATGTATTGTGGAACCCAAGCTTTTATTCTAGTGAAGGTGATTATAGTGTTCTTCACTTCAAGAAGACTTGGATGGCATTTGTGACAGGGAGACAGCTAACAAGTTGAAGTTGAATGCGGAAAAGACAAAGGAAATCTTAATAGGCTTCAATCATCTCCGTAAAATTTTTCCTACATGATAATCCCATCAAATTTTACCCCACCATCAAAAACCTTGGAATAACCTTTGATCAAACGCTTTCCTGGAAAAAACATGTATCCAATATCTCCTGCCATACCTTTTCCATCTTAAAATGCCTAAATTACTTCCGTCATCTATTTTCCCTTGAAACCCGTAGGCTCCTAGTCACTTCCTTAATATTACTCCACTTTGACTATTGCTGTATGGTATATGGGGGGATTTTGAGACGAAACTAAAATGTTTGATAAATTGCTTTATACGATTTATCTTCAGGATCCCAAGGGACACCTCTGTTTTCCATTTTTATGCAAAGTTGGAGTGGCTTTATCCTTCCTACCATCATAAGTATTTCATAGCATCCTTCCTCTTTCAAGTCATCCAATCCAAACGTCCTTCATACATCTCCGAGTTCCTTCAATTCAAATCCTCTGTTCGTTCCCAATTTATACATAAGGGTCCATCGAACCACTGCTTTTGACAGATCGTTCATTATCCGATCCTTATCCCTATGAGACTCCATCCCTTCCTACATCCGTCAATCCAATACCCTCCCTATCTTTAAATTTCGCCTGTTTAATCATTTCTTATCCATCCAGTCCCCATAAAATTGTTAATAGATATTACTGTAAATTATTAAATCGTTCTTAATTATTTTTACTTCATGTTTTTCAATTTTGTATTTCTTATTACTAACTGATTAAAGTTAGCAAGTAACTTAAATTTTTTTTCTATTTTTTAATAAAAAAAATTACTATTTAATTACTTCGAATTTTTTGTTTATGTATCTCTGAGACTCCTTAGCCCACATTTCTGTCTTTCTATATTATTCTAAAGGGACTCGTCCCAGAATTATATAAAGTATTATTATTATATATATATATTTTTCTCTCATCTTAAATGTAAAAGTATCAATGTATACATATATAACATGTATAACTTAAGCATTGAACTATGTGTTAGCGCATTTGATGTAATAGGTTGTAGAGATGGATTGTATATAAAAAAAAAAAAAAGGAAAACACAAATTGTGGATCTCCTTTTCTAGAATGTTATTTGGTGTTTATTTAGTATTTTTAAACAATAAATTATTGGAAAATTCTCCAACTTTCTAATGAGTCAGATGAAAAACCATGACTTTTCCCTGTATGTTGACACTCTGAATACAAGTCAAAGAAATCACAAAAAGCCTGTGACCTTTGACTTTGAACTAACTACTATCTAAATAACATATTTCAAAAAAGTAACATCAAACCACCCCCACAATGTTATAAGAATACTATGAATACTGCTTTAAACTTCTCTGTACTGACAAGAGCAGCTAACTGTTAGTAGGTCTCCAATATAAAACAGAATATATAAAATGAAATTGTCATATCATTACTTTCATTGAACTAAATAAAAAATATTATAACAATAAAACAGATTAGTCTCAAAAATGGCTCAACCATCTTCAAAGGTATTACTACAGGAACTAAAAACATTTGATTATGTCCTATTCGACCTAATTTAACACCATGTATTCAAACCCATTTTTATACCGGTTTGAGCCAATTTTGGTCAATACAGTTTAGCCAGAAGGTGGAGTGCAGTGAAAACTAAAATATAAACATTTTGTGGAAAATTTGGATTGAACCAATTTATAAACTAATAGCCTTAAGTTAAAATAAAAGAGGCAAAAACCTAAATAAAGCTGATTATCACCTGTTAATCGTTTTTCTGCTTGTAAATCTTGGATTCTATCAATTACTGATTGTGTTTTCATGTGGAATTTTGAGGCCAAATCTTCCAAAAGCAACACTTTTGTGTTCTGAAAAAGTAAAAATATAACATGACAGTATAAAAGCAACATCCATTAAACCTAGAGATAGGTATGCATCAAAATTAGGCAATAGACCTGTATGTGAGAAATAAAATTCTGCAGAAGATTTTCATCCTCCCGTATTTCAGTCTCATCGAAACCTTCTTCTTCAATGTTAAATGAGGCTTTTAACTTCAAATATTCTTCATGTTCTCTCCTTTCTTGCTCCTCTTTAGCTTTTTTTTCCTCTTCTTCCCTTTTCTGTTCATCAAGCTTTTCTTTCTCTTCTTGACGTTTTTTTTCTTCCTCTAACACTTCCTTTCTTTTCTTTTTCTCTTCTCGCTCTCTTTCTTCAGCCTACAACATATCATAAGAAAATTTCTTCATTAAATATCAATTTTATCTAAAAATATGTCAACAGTCAACTAAATGTTAAAATTTGTTTAATAAAGTCACCAATTATAATTCATATTAAAAAAATCAGATCATACTTCTCTTTGTGCTTTCTTTTCTGCCTTTGCTTCGAGTTTTGCCCTTTTTTTTGCTCCAACTTTTTCTTGTTCAACATCCTCAACTTCTTCTTCATTGTCATGTGCTGGAAAAAAAACAAAAACATTATTTACATCACAAATTTAACTTGAAATAGAAAATTCTAAATATTCTTCTTTGGCACAGGTACTGTAAATGAGTAAGTTTTCCTTCGAATTCGGCCATCATACTTAGCTAGCAAAATGTTCTGTTGAAGGTTGCATGCAGGTGCCAAGGGGAGGAAAAGACAGGTCATAAATGAAGGAAAAACAAATAAAACATAGATAAAACTTTTATGATAGCTTAAAACATGGCTAAAGGACCCATAACACACAAAACTTTTCAACAGTGGGTAACAGAAAGCATTAATAATTAATTAATGCTATTAAGCTATTAATATTATGCATTGCTAAATGGTAGTATTTTTTTTTTATTGGCCTAACAGAACTTTGGTTTGGGGACCTGAATCAGTATTCCCATCCTTGGTCTGTACTGAGTTAAAGCTTTCCATATGTTGTTAGGAAAATAAAAGTTATAAAAAAAGAAAATTACCAGCAGCTGCTCTTAGCCTAGCCCGAGCATTTCTTGGAGCTGGAGCTCCTCTCCTTTGCCTCTGTTCTTCATTTGGTGCTTCTTGCTCTTCTATAAATTTTTAAAAACAAATTGGCAACAAGTTTGAATTTAATAAATAATAACACATGATTAAAGTAATACCATCTGAGCTTTTGGAACGTTCCCTTAATACAAAAAATATTAACACAATTATAATTATTCCAGATGCAAGAGCTAATAAAATTGATAAATCCATTGAGAAAATCTAGCTACCCAGTTGACAACACTAAACAATAATGTTAACTTATCACATTGAAGAACCTCCCCGATGAAGGTTATGTGTCTGCTACTGGATTAACCTTTCTTGACGTAGCTAAAGGTTACGTGTACAGAGATTTAGAGCTCTGTTGAATTTGAACTCATTTCAAAATGTATAATGTTATAAGCAGTATTTCTTTATTTGTATTAATATTTCCATTTACTTCGGGACTATATTTTCATATTGGTGAGACTGAAAGAAAATGTTTTATTGAAGAAGTACCTGATGAAACTACTGTTCTAGGTAACTACAAACCAGATTTCATTTTAATTATTTTTTAGCCATTATTCATTTTATTTTATCATTTAGTGAACTACAGAGTTGAACTTCATGATCCCAGAACTGGAGGATTTATGAAATCAAGTTCAGGCATTGGTATGCATGTGGAAGTGAAAGATCCAGATATGAAAACCATCTTATCTAGAGTAAAAATAAATTTAATTTAGAAAAAACTATAATTGTAATAAATTTAAATTGCTACATAGATTTTATTCTTGTTCAGGTATACAGCTCTGAAGGTAGGATATCTTTTACATCCCATGTTCCTGGTGAACATGTTATTTGTTTGTACTCAAATAGTACTAAATGGATTGGGGGCACTCAACTGGTATTCATTTACAATCACTTGTTAAATATATATATTTCTATATTTTAGTTGCTGTACTAACAATTTTGATATTCGTTGACAGAGGGTGCATCTAAATATACAAGTTGGTGAACATACTATTGATTATGCCAATGTTGCACAGAAAGAAAAGCTTAGTGATCTTCAACTCCGAATGAGACAGTTGTTGGATCAAGTGGAAGCCATTACCAAAGAGCAGAACTATCAGAGGGTATGTTTTTTTCAATATTTTCTCACTTCAAATTTGCTTTTTTAAAATTATGATTTTGTGATTTAAAACACATTTGGTACTAACAACTCCGAATAATTTTATGAAGTTTCTATTTGTAATTTTAATATTTACCAGTTAAACTTTTGTGCCTTATTTGAGATTAAATATTTTATTTTACACTATTATTCTACTCTTCAATTGGAAATTTTGTATTTTAAGTGAATTATATAGTTACCATTGGGCCCCTAAAAATAATATATGTTTATATTACTGCTATAAGTAGGTGAAGTAAACATATTCATAGTAATTTTGACCCATAATTATTATTGTATTAAAGCATGTAGTTTTTTTACTGAATAAATAAATATATAAGAATATGTTTTGGAGATGAACTAATTGTGCTAATCTAATTGGATAAGAAAACATCTGTTGACACACAGCAGCAAGCTACATCTGAACTTCTTCACCTATAAATTAAGTACTTCTTTAATCCTTGAAAGTGTTATGAAACCATATTTAAAACAGAATTAATGTTGACTGCTTTTCAGAATAAATTTACCATCTGAGTATTATCCTATGACCTGTTCCATACCAGAGAATCAGGAATTCTCACTTGTACTGTTGTATTACGTAACGTTAGGTATTTGTGTGTCACATGGTTCTTGATGATAAAGATATTGGTTGTTTTAATACTAATACATCACACTAATAGCTAGTATTGATACCATATTAATTCAGGCGTTAATGAGCCGAGCTACATTTTACTTTTATATGCATCACATGTCATGTAATTCTGAATCCATAAATGCTTTAGAGCAGCCTATGATTCTGTGGCAGGAACTGTCTTTGGAAAATCATGATTGATCTGGAAATTCCCAATAAGTTGTTGAGATTGACAAAGGCGTATACAAATGACCCCAAAAGTTCATATAGAGTTCTAATACAAGAAGAAATATCTGAATCCTTCAAAGTTCGAACGGGCTTATGGCAGGGAGATAGACTATCACTGATGTTGTTCAACTTTCATGTAAAAGATTATAAGAGCAGCAACACAGGGAAATGGAGGGGTCCAAGTCAGAATGAATCATAAAATCCTTGTTGAAGGAAGCTACTTGACTGTTCTGCATATTATGGATGATAAATAGTCAGGACGCAGTCATTATACGATTTTTTTTATTTGTGCCAACATTTCAACCCAAACATGTGGGTTATCTTCAGGGCGTGGTTTCAGCACAGAAGGCTTTCAAGTACTGGAAAGTCTTCAGTGCTCGAACCATGCTTTGAAGATGACCCACATGTTTGGGTTGAAACGTTGGCACAAATAAAAAAATTTGTACAATGACTGCGTTCTAACTATTTATCACCCATAAAATCCTTGGATACGCAGATGATATAGCTGTCCTTGGATGTAATCAAGAAGACATTGAGAAACTTGCTATAACACTGATAAGAGAGGCAGAGCAGATCGGTCTACAAGTAAATGAAGACAAGACAAAATAAACGATAATAAGCCAATAAGTCCACCCCAATAACAGGATCTGCGTGGAAGAAAAATCCAAATACCTCGGCTCCACAATAACTTCAATGAATGGCCAATGAGCAGAAATAAATGCTGGTATAACTAGCGCGAACAAAGCTTTCTTCTCCCTCTCAAAGGCATTAAAATCCCGAAAAAATCTCAAACTAAGGATGTACAGTGCTGTGATTAACATCCTACTGACTAACCAACATCCTAGAAAAAAGTATAAGATTTGAGAGGAAAATCTCTGTACGATAACCGGATCGATCTGGGATTAGAGTACTAACACATGGAGAAGAATGATCAATAAAGAACTCCTTACAGAAACTGGTCAATCAATATCCCATGATATGAAGCCACAGAGGTTAAGATGGGCGGGACATGTAGCTCGTGGCAATCCATCTGGAAGCCTCTATGTAACAATGAATGCCTCAATAGAAAATAAAAAACCACGTGGAAGGCCAAAAAGCAGATGGATAGATAGAATCAACAGAGCTGCATGCAGATAAATGGAAAGAAATAGCCCATGACAGGCAGAGATAGAGCAGATTTGTTAAGGCGACAAAAAATCTGCATGGTCTGTAATGCCAACAGAAAAAAAAAAAAAATGCTTTAGAGCATTCATGCTGCTAAATTAGAAATAAACAAATCCTCACAAGCTGCTTGGATTATTTGCTTGAAGATCCAATTGACAACAGTTTAGCTACAGCCACTGAAAGAACATCTAGCAAGCATTCGCCAAGAGTGAGGTTATACTCGTAATTTATTTCCTTACCAATGTCTGGAAAAAGTGCAAAATACTCGAACTAGGTAACTGGTTGGTTATTTGTGAGTTGTGTTATTAGTGTAGTAGTCAGTGGACCAGACCCACCTTCCGTGTACCCATCTCTATAAATTACTCATCTTTGTGTTCCTTACAACTAGTAATTAAAAAATCTAGTTTTCCAGAAAGAAAAAAAAAAAAGAAAGGTGGCCATGTTGTACCTATTATTGTGGACTAATAAATTTGACTTCAGTTAGATTTTTGGGTTCAGACATTTAAAAATTTGTCACAATTTTTCTATAATTGGCCTTTTATTTAAGCTGAATTGTCAGATAATCATTAGATATTAGATGTTAAAAAAATCAAGAAATAATTGATAATTAAAAAAAAACAGTTAAGTCAATTTTTATAATGGTTCACTCTAAAGCTGAAAATAAAGTGCCATTTACATTAAATGGTTGACAAAAATGATAGAAGTTTTGAAATAAACTATCTGGGGAAATTGCACTCTGTAAATCAATCATTTCACTTTGAAATATTTGAAATGGTTCCTTAGAACACTTATATGAGATGGAATATATTTTTAAGAATTATATAATTATTACAATGAATCTTAATTCAATAATACTCAGTTAAATATCTTAATTCAATAATACTCAGTTATATATCTTGAACTTGAATAGTTTACAATTCAATAACCTTTCATACTTCCTTGAGGTCATGAACTGTCATTTCATCTAAGATAAAATCAGAAGAGCAGATCTGCAAAACTACTATCAGAAAAAAATAAATTCGGAAATGGTCTGATGTCAAATTACTATTTATAAACTTTTCCTAATGCACAATTGGAAAATGCTGGATAAGTTTATTAAACTTATATTAATGGTAATTAAACGTAATATTGTAAACTACAAAGTTCTTATCATTCAAAAAATTGCAAAGGAAAATTTCAAAACCATGATACAATCATTACAAAGGAAAAATAAAGATTCTTATAATAAGAAAATTTGGTTGGGAGTTGAAGTCATTAGAAACACAAAAAAAAGAAAAAAATAGTTTTATTTATTAACAAATTAGGAACAAAGAAAATAAATATTTTTTGTGTACTAATGCCTGCTTCCAACTTCTCTTATTGTTATATGAAATTATTACATTGTTTTATTCTTCCTATTGTATTCACATATTACTCTTTATTTAATGAAATCAATTAACAATACCAAAATTATGAAATGAAGTTTTGCTTTAAAAGATAAAACTATAATGGACTCAAATTCTATACTAAAAAGGTCACAGGTCTTAAGAGACTCCAAATTAATTGATTTTTTTACTTCCACATACCTATAATATCCTGATACCTGATAATATCCCAGTAAAACTAATAAAATCCAGCCTTCCTGTTCTTTACCATATCTACAACTTTTCACTGCAAAACTCTTATATTCCCATCCTCCTGGAAAATCGCCCTAGTCCGACCTTTGAATAAAATTCCCAACATTACCTCACTACATGATTTCCGTCCTATTTCTCTCCTATGCAACCTCTCAAAGCCGTTAGAACGCCTTGTCCAAAATCAACTCTCCAACTTCCTAGAAGAACGTTCCCTTATCAACCCATTCCAAACTGGCTTTCGACCTGGTTACTCAACGCAATCCGCTGTCCTTAAAATAACCCATGACCTCCAAAACTCCATCGAACACCAAAACCTTACCATCCTCATCCTTCTAGATTTTTCCAAAGCATTCGACACAGTTGACCATAAGATCCTCCTTACGAAATTGCACAATCTTCCTCTATCCAACAGTGCCCTGTGCTGGTTCAAATCGGTCCCAGTATGTAGTAGTCCCAGGCCAACCTTCATCTAAGACCCTTCCCCTCTCCTGTAGTGTCCCTCAAGGTTCCTCTCTATCTCCTACTCTGTTTGCTATCTACATCAATGACCTTCACCTCATGATCCGTCACTCCCAATACCATATCTATGCAGATGATTTCCAAAATATACCTGTCCTTCCCACCCTCCGACCTATTATCTGCCACAGAGAAACTACAAGAAGACTTGGATAGGATTTGTGACTGGGCAAGAACTAAAAAGTTGAAGGAAAGATGAAGGCAATAGGCTCCAATTACCTCCTTAAAACCGTTTATAATATTCCAACTCTGTTCCTGCATCATAATCCCATCAAATTTTACCCCACCGTCAAAAACCTTGGAATAATCTTCGATCAAGCACTTTCCTGAAAAAACCATGTATCCAATATTTCCCGCCGTACCATTTCCACTCTAAAATGTCTAAATTATTCTCGTCACCTATATCACCTATTATTCTCGTCACGGGGTTTGAAACCCGTAGGCTCCTAGTCACTTCTTTAATTTTCCCCCACTTTGACTATTGCTGTTCGGTATATGGGATCGTCTCTGGGGATCTCGAGGCGAAACTAAAACATTTAATAAATTACTTTGTAAGATCCATCTTCGGGATACCAAGGGACGCCTCTGTTTCCCATTTTTATGCAGAGTTGAAGTGGCTTAATCCTTCTTACCATCGTAAATATTTCCTGGCATCCTTCCTCTTTCAAGTTATCCAATCACACCGTCCTTCATACATCTCCAAGCTCCTTCAAGCTCTCAAATCCTCTGTTCAAACCCGCAATACTCGTTCCCGGTCTTCTGACATATATAAGGGCCCACCGAACCGCAGCTTTCGACAGATCTTTCATTATCTGATCCTCATCCCTTTGGAACTCCATCCCCTCTCACATTCGACAATCTAATACCCTTCCTACCTTTAAATCCCGTCTGTTCAATCATTTCTTATCAATCCAGTCCCCATGGAATTGTAAATAGATACTATTGTTAATATGTATATAAATTATTAGCTCGTTCTTCATTATTTTTACTTTATCCTTTTTATTTATTTTTTTTAATTTTAATTATTAACTGATTAAAATTAGAAAGTAACTTATAATTTTTAGTTTTATTACTATAACTGTTTAATTACTCTGTATCTTTATTTATGTATTTCTGAGGCTTCTTAGCCCATATTTGTGTCAGTCTGTATTATTCTAAAGGGACTCATCCCAGAATAAATAAAGTTTTATTATTATTATATATGCAATATATAAAAAGGGAATTATTTCGATCAGGAAAGGTCCCCTGAGTCCAAATAACCAAGTCTCGTAAAATGGTCTGTGTGTAAGTATGTGAACAGAATAACTCAAAAACGAAAAGTTGTACGCAACTGAAATTGCATATTTAAGGTTTTTAACAGGATGTTACAACAACTTTGTCGTCAATATCGGCTAACTGGAAGTGCCACTTTATTTTATCGATTTTACACATTTTTACAATTTTTTCGAAAATGCCTAACGATTTTGATTAAATTCATTATATCAGTGTAAAATTAAGCAGTTTTAAATATAATGATTGCTTTTTCCTCATTGGGTTTAAATGCCTAATTTTCATAATTTCTTCTTCTCAAGTACCTTTAATTTTTTTATTTTTTTTTAAAATAATTAACTATTTCACAGTGGAAACTAATATAAAAAATGTTTAAATATAATTAATGATGAAAATTAGTTGGTAACTAAAGGAGAAATTAGGATTGGAAGCTATACGGAAACAGCCGGAAGCGCCCGAACTTTGCCGATCGTCTTCCTTTTAGAGATGCCCCATATCGCTCTGTACAAGGCAATACTTATCCATAATATTTTAAAGGGTTTTTTTTTTCACGCAAAATGTTGAGGATCTACTAATATAAACTTAATAATATACATTATTTACTACCATTAAGTTATTTTTGGACAAATTTCTTCATAAATTTTTCCCAATAAAACTCAGAAATTTACCAAAAGATCAGTTTTTCCCTATTTGTATAGTATTTTTTGATACTGTACACAGTGGTAGTAACATATTCTGCGTAACATATGGAAACTTGGAACCTTTGCACCCCCACAATAAATGGGTTTTTTGTGCTACGACAGTTCCCAATTCTCTAGTTGTGGATAGTGGTGGGGGCAGATCAGAAGATCTAAAAGATAAAATTTAATCCGTATCAGCTCCCGGTAGGACTGCTTCCAGCCCAGGTATCCATGGAAGCAAGCAGACTAGCAGACTTGAGGGCCCTAAGGTAAAAGTGATGTCTTTACCAAAATAAAAATAGTAAGCTGCATAATTCGTATAACCTACCAATTCATTTAAATACAGTCCACTGCATAAATAAGTCAAATGTTGCCTATTTAGAACTCATTAAGAGTTATTTGCATTGCCTTAATTAAAATTGGAAAGTTGCCTAAACAGCGTTAAAAATCTTCTCAGAGGTAATCAGAGGAAAATTCTCTGTAAAATTTATGGATCTGTACTAAAAGAGGATGAATGGAGAATCCGGAAAAACTGCTAACTGTATGAGCTATATGGATCTTGTGACATCGTCCATTTCATACGAGTAAGAAAAATTGAATGGGTGGGTCACATAACACGGATGATTGAATCAAGAATGGAAAAATGAATTCTGCTTGGAAAGATACCAGATATGTTACCAGGAGATATACAAGATATGGTACCAGATATAAAAGATATGGTACCAGGAGAGGACGACCTCGGAGATGTCGGTGAATTCAGGATGTGAAAAGGGACCTGGAAAATCTCGGTATAAGGAACTGGAGGAGAGTGTTGTGGAGAGAGAACTGGTGATGTGAAAGATTTTTTCCCCTATATTTATCTGACTTATTAAAACTAAATTATCTTAAAAGTTGCATCGTTTTTATCATATTCATTATCTTAAAACTCATGTATAATTACTAAGAAGGTGATTGTTTAGACAGCTCATAATAAGTTTTATTATTAAAAAGTAATAGAAATTGGTGTTTTGCTGTTAATAATGTATATATTTTAATTTCATCTTGCAGTATCGTGAAGAAAGGTTCAGACAAACTTCCGAAAGTACTAATCAGAGAGTGTTCTGGTGGTCCATAACACAGTTGATCATTCTTATTGGCATGGGTACCTGGCAAATGAGGCATCTTAAGAGTTTCTTCGAAGCTAAAAAATTGGTCTGATTTTTTTTTTTTTCTTTTCTCATTTGATAAACAAGTCAATAATAATTGTTCACTTTTCCTGTGGAAAAAAAAAAAAAAAAAAAAAGAGAGTGGAATTTGTAAGAAAATTGTATTTTTATATTTCATATATTTTCTAATTTTTTTTTCTTGTCCCTATTAATTCTTTATCAGTTTTGTTTAAAATTTGTATAATTGATTTGTGTTACAGAAATTTTTCATGGGACAAGTTGAAATTATCTAATTGTTAACGAAAACAAACATTTGTTTTTTTAAATTAAATAAAAAATTTCAGTTTCAACTTTTCATATTTCTTTTAATATTATAATCTAATTCAGTTATTTATTTTCTAAGCCACCTTTATTTGTTTATGAAAATATGTATTTATTTATTTCTTCAAACTTGAATTTGTTCCACTTAATTATTTCTGTAACATTTGAGTTTACTTTAAAAAACTGCCTCTGTTCTTTTATTTATTTCTTCACATTTAAAATTAATTTCTTTCAGTTAGTTTCTTGTTTGTTTTTATTAAAATACTTTTTTCTTATGTGTCGGATAAACAGTTATTTTAAGAACCCTATTCGTCCCTCTGAGAATATGTACAAATGACTTTTACTAAATAACATTTATGAAATATTTGGCTGATTAAATAATGTTAGCAATGGAACATATTAATGCTTCTAGTAATGAGCTCCTTAAGATTTTATATTTAAAAATTAGTAATTACAAAAGCCAAGGGATATTTTTCCCCATGTTATCAAAATATAATGAATAACTATTTCATAGAATAGTAAGTTATAATGAGGTATACTGTAACAAGAACGTTTGTTCTTTGAGAGGTGTCACTAATGATGATGTTATGTTGGTTTGATGTACTTTTTTTCTATTGTATATATATAGAGATGTTTATGTATCTATTATTAAATTATAATTGTAAAATTCATATTAATTAAAGCATAATTGTTTAAATATCAAATTTTCAATTGTATATAACTTTTTGATATATATCGGTTATTTCTGTGCCTGATAATTAACAGGGTTAATTTCTGAAACTATATCTACTAGAAGAGTCAATCCTTTAATATGGATGAATATATGTAGATATTCACCATATTGCAGAAGTACATCTTAAAATTGTTAGTTTTGAAAATAGTCTCTTTTAATTTTCAGGCACTAAATTATTCAGTACAATGGTGTTATTATGGGTATATTTGATGGATCTAATTTAATTTTTTTAAATTATTACTGCATTGATTGAATGAAAAAATGTCAATATAATAAAAGGCCTTTGAAAAGTTATATTGTATCATTCAAATGTATGAATGTGTCTGGCGACATTTAATTTTTAGTATTTAAGCAATTTTGTACCTTAATTTAAAAATTGCAGTTCTGTGTAAAGACCTTTTCTGTTTTGTATTAATTATTATTTCTATAAAGTTTTTTTGTTTTGTTTTTTATTAATGATTACTTTTCATTATTTTTAGGGAAAAAAAAAAAAAAATATATATATATATATATATATATATATAATATATGTTTAAAAGTGAACTTTACATATTATTTAGAGTACAACAGGGGTGCCCAAGCTCGATGTCGCATGAACATATCTCCCCTCCGCTCCCAATATATTTGATTGTTCATCTTTTCTTAAAGACAGAAAAATGAAGGTATAATTGAAAAAATTGCAGATCATATACAATACATTTGCTGTGGTATGTTCAATGTTTTCTCCTTGTCCCTTTGTATAAAACTTATCATTCCGAAAATTCATAACCCATCAAAAATTTGTATGGCACAAGTTGCGCCACCAAACCCCGTTCCGGTCATCCCTGGAGTACAATAAGATATAGATATAAATATTTAGAAATAAAATGATATTGACCAACAAGAGCAAGTATTTTAAATGGATAGGAGAGGAAATGAATCTTTTTACCCTATTCTCTCTTATACAATCAGAACTCATATTGGAAATGTGGGTTTGATATTCGATTTTCAAAGTAGTTTACTTCAACAATCTTAAATCCTTTTTTAACTTTAGACTCCCAGAGATTGTAGAAGAACCTAGTTTTCATAATTCAATTAAAAATGTTTTTAGTAAACAATATAGACCTATATTCATATTAGTAAAATATGTACATTTTGATCCAAGGAATAATTTTTACTAAATAGCTCTGGAGATTTAAGTGACATCCTGCCCACATATATACGTGTTTATGCAAGGGTCTGTGACAAAAATAAAAATTTTATGGTCTGGGGTTCCTTGGCTTCATAGCAATTGGATGTGGAGGTAATGTGTAATATTCCAACAAACACAATGGCATGAGAAAACATGAAATAGTTTGGTCTTATAGGTAAAAGACCACCTCATTGGTCATTCGCAATAAATTATTAAGGCTTGGGTGGGAATTTTTGCTCCACTCCCTATTCACCAGACCTGACTCCAAGTGACTACCACTTATTCTGGTCTCTGCAAAATTCCATGAATGGAAAGAAATTCCAAAAGGAAGAGGACATCAAAAACCACTTGGATCAGTTTTTTTAACAACAAACAGCAGACATTCTCTGAGCATGGCATTATGCAGTTAATGGAAAGATGGGAAAAAGTCATATTAAATAATGGTCAATATATTGTTGATTAAAATAAATTTTATGTCTATAATACATTAAGTTTTATTTCATCCTGAAAAACCAAAAGAACTTATTTGCCAACCCAATATTTAAAGAAATACTAATAAAAGACTTCAAGAGCTTTAAAACAATTTATATTAACCATGATCCAATTTTTCACAGTAAATCAAATTTTGTATTTTTTCAAGTGTCATTCTTGTTTTCTAGTATTTTTTAAATCTAAAGTGATAACTAAAAAAAAATATTTAATTTAGGTAATTAACAATTGCTTCATAGACAACTTGACAAAATTTACTTCAAATGCAAGTAGAGTTTGCCTAGTCTACATTTTCTAGCAAATACTAGAATTAAGAATATTCAGTTGGTCATTTAATACAATATGTGACAAATCAATTTTCAAAATAGAGATATGTATTAAAAAAACACCAGTGCATTATCACTTCAGATGATAAATATTTGTACTTCAGACTGCCTAAGCTGTAAAGAGGAAATAGAATACGATGATTTATTTGCTCTCTCGTATTTTATTTTTATTAAAAAGTATATTTTATAATATTAATTTATTACAATACATTATAGGACAAGAAAAAAAATTATCCCTTCGTAGTAATTTATTGTATTTATTTTTGCTGAAAGCAGGTATATTGGGATTTTTTTCTAAAAGTAGGTGAGTTCAGTTGGAGGATATTAAAATCATAATTTCAAGAAAAGACGTGACTTACTTAAGAAAGCATCTAACTTATTTGCAGAAAATGGGACCATGGTTCATAAAGTTTTCTAGAGGTCTACTATCACCTCACCTCTTTGAATATTTCTCTTTATGGGACACTTTGCATATTATGGCAGTTACTGCATAGCACAATTTTAAAAAAAAATCTGGATAAATTCTAAACAAAAAAAGTGGGGTAACACAAGTAAAGAGAAGTTTAAAAATATATTTAGTTATATTCAAGAAACTTCTTGATTTAGTTTTTCTTCTATATCTAATAATCAACATTTTTAAAAACTTACTAAACTTATTGACAAACTTGTGGTAACTTAGCTTCAATAAATCACATATTTCAGTTTACTTATTTGGTAATTTTACATATTTTTGTTGTATAATACTGAACCTTTAAAATTGCAATTAGATATCTTGCAAAACTAATATAGACACAAAAAATGTAAACAACCAAAAGAACTTTGGCCATTTCTATTTAATTTATACAATTAGTATGGGATAAATTAGTAAATTGCCTGAAAAATTAGAGAATTTCATAAAAATATTTTAGTAAACACCCTTGTTTAACTTCTTTTTCTACTCAGGAATAATCCTCTAAAAATCCTGATGAAAACTAACCACCTATTCCTCTGGATTAAGATGTATTACATATTTAGTATGCCCATCCTCATTGATTACATGAATATCTGTTTTGTTTTTTCACCAGTAAAAAATTTAATTTAGTGACTAGATTGCTAAATGAATTTTATCATTCTTACTATGATAAAATATAAGTCTTATGAATGTGGTTGGCCAGCCACCATCAGTTTGTTGCTCAATCTGTCTATGTTGAATTGGTATGTTCGTGTGCTATTTTAAAGGGTTATTGTATGACCAGAGAAAGTTGAGAAAATGGGAGATGACAGCTTAATTTGAGCATGGGAGAACTAGTCAAATTGATGACCCTATGTAGCAAAACAACTTAAAAATCAACCAAATTCTTTTAAAAAATCCATTTAATTAACAAAATAAAAAACAAATGGCATAAATTAAAAATTATACCAATGGTTTTCAAGCATTTTTCACAGCACCCTTGTTGAACTAAAAAATGTTCAAGGCATACTTACTAGGACTAAAAAATGTTTGCCATACATTTATAACTTAAGTGGTATAACAGAATCTTTACCCATTATTGTACAATATATATAAGCCAAATTCAATTTATTTTTTTCAGAAATTATTAAATTTCAATTTTGTTAAAATAAAATAAAATATTATTCATTTTTAGTTAGTGGATTGATAGTTTACTGTCGTAAATATATTGATGAGAAGTTAGTTGGAGTGTTCAGTCAAAGAAACAACAAAGTAAAAATAAAAAAATATTTTTATTTTCATTGTGCCCTAATTTAATTTTTAGAATGCTTATTCACAAAATTGAAAATTTTGACCTTAAATATTATTGCAGAGGAGAACCTCTGACCTATAACATCTGACAATCTAATAATCATATTTCATATTATTCGGATAACCTAAAGCTCATATTTCAGGATACAGGCTGTTATTCTTAATACAACTAATCCAATCCTACGCTTGGGCCTTTAGTTGAATTGAATAAAGTTTTAAATGCAACACTCAATAACAAGAAGGAGGAGTGACTTCACGTATAGCGTGATAAAGAGGAATGAAATAGTCTAAATAGCATTTTAGATAAATCATAGGTTTATTCTCTTTTTTTGGAATAGAAGGGAACCTCTGATGACACTTTTCATGGGTTGTGAAAATTACAGAGTACCGATTCAGGAACCTAAATCCAATTTTCTGATATTTTTTTAATTAATTTAAAATTAATTAACTAATGATTCAGTCATTCCTTAATGATATTTGGGATAAAAAAATATTACAGTTATCAGCCCCAGAAGCCTTAGCATTTAAAGTAACATGACCTTAACCAAAATAATTACAGATGAACAGCTGTCCATAAAATATACATTATTTTCTTTACAATATCTTACAAATCATCACAGATTTAGGTACTCAATTTTAAATTAAAGGATTCATGATACATGTCCCATTGATTGAAGAATTTCTAAAATGGAACTTCCAAGTTCTTCATCTTGATTAGTCCAGGAAACATAAACATTTTTCTGTTCGTCTTCACTTCCTTCAACCTTTACAAGAACAGATTCAATGGATATTGAACCATCAGTCAGACCAACATTCCAACCAACTAGTTTTTCCTTAAATAATTTATAAAGCTTTTCTGCAGTTTTTGATGGTGGACTTGGATCTTCTAACCGCACAGTTGAAGTAAACCTATAAATAAATTTTGAATAAGCATTTATCTCTATTATTAATCAAATTCAAAATTGAATTAATAGTAGAAGTTGCTACCTGATAATATGACGATTGATTCCTGCTTCTTTACAAGCTTCATCTACATCCATTAGGCACAGAGATGAATCTTTGACTACTAAAACTCCATGAATTACACGTGCATTTTTAGGATTTGGAGGTTGGGCATTGTATTTTGAATTTTCTGCTTTTAGTAAAGATAATGATACATCAATAGGGATTCGATAAGGTGTGGTAATTGTACATGTTTCTCCATTTGCAGGCATGTAACAATCTAAATCAAATTCTTGCTTAATCTTTTCTTTTAAAAATTCCATTTTTTCAGCTTCTCCATGAACCAAAAGAACATTTTTAGGTTCACAGTACTGAATCAACTGCATTATTCCTTTAGCATCTGCATGAGCTGAAAATGACATATACTCGACACTCATTTTAACTTCAACAGTTTGCCTACTTTCAAATTCAATTTGCTTGGCCCCATTAAGAATTTTATGGCCTACAGTTCCAACAACACAAAACCCTGGCATAATGACCATATTACTTTCATTTGGGGCCCATTTCTTGAATATCTGCAATGAAAGCCCAGCATGAAGCATTCCTGGAGGTGCTAAAACAACCATAGCACCTGGATTGTCGATGTAAGATTTATCGAAAGGTTTAATATGTTTAAAATCAAACATATTTCTTTGGACAAATGTTTTCTTTACATTCTGGTTAGTCCAAGTAATGAACATTTTATAATAATTATTAGCTTTCTCAGTGAGACCTACTGCAAAATACACTGGTGTTTTTAAATTCATTCTTTCCCAATGAGTGTCAAGTAAAATACACAATTCTTGAGCACGACCTAATGCAAATACAGGAATTAAAACTTTTCCTCCTCTATCTATACATTCTGTGACCTTTTTCAAAAAATCTCTCTCCCTGCACCTTTTTGAATCTCTTATTGTAGTTGCATAGGTCGATTCTGTAATTAAAAGATCAGGTCGGCATTTATCAATCCAAGCTGCCCCCAAATGTCTATCTGGTGTCATATTATAGTCACCAGTATAAACTACAGACTGAGAACCAACAGTGATTTTGAACATTGCTGCACCTAATACATGACCAGCATAATAAGCTTTAATTTCTAACTGATTGTCTACCATCAAAGACTGATGTAAAGTCACAGCAGTTACCTTCTTCATACAATCTTTAATCATTTGTGAAGTAAAGAAATTGCCATCACCTTTTTTTTCCACAGCTATTCTTCGCATATCCTCAAGCAGGATAGGAGCTATAGCTTTTGTAGGATGTGTCATGTAAATTGGTCCTGAGTATCCAACCATTTCAGTAAGATAAGGCAATGCACCACAGTGATCCAAATGAAAATGAGAAATTATGACGCAATCTATAAAACTTGTAAGGGGACCTTCAGCTACAATGAAACTAAGATCTGGAAACCTTCGTTCATCATTGTAGCCCATATGCATACCACAGTCTAGCATTATATTCTTGCCACCTATTTGAACTATAATACAACTTCTTCCAACATCCTGACCTGCTCCTAACGGAATAACTCTAATTTCAGACATATTAAAACGATTACCAATGTTTTTCGCCTGAAAAAAATATTCCCGATATCAACCAATATCTGCTATAATATTTATTTATATTTGGCCGGTTCAAAACTTCCCCCAACATATAAACTTAATCCCAAAGAGGTTGAAGAGTAGGGGCATAACAAGGCAATGTCAGAAGAAAATATAATTAAAAAAAAAAATAAAAAAAATATGCCCACAAAGAGCATCAAATGTTCTGGCAAATAAATTTTATCGAAACAATGAATACGTCACAATATTCATCCAATGAAATTACGCCTATATAATCAAAATGAATTTTTGTTTTTAAATTACTAGAGGGGTACTCCCTGTCCCCATTTTACAAACTGTACAAGTGTTCATGAATTGTACTATTCGTTACTCAAATTTAACAACCGTAATTTACAGGTATTCTGTAGTTCAGGTTGTATATTTTTTTTAATAGAGTAAGGAAGAAAAATAACAACTAAAGTATGTGTTTTAGACCACACGATAGAAGTAAAAACATCAACAAGGCGAGATTAATATTTCTGTGATATTTTAATCCGTAAATTCAATAAATCTTGTTATCTTTTGGTTTACGACACTATTTTTTCCCTTTTTGTCTCTCTAACACGGCATCACATAAGATACAAGTTGGAATAATAGCTCATTACAAAGAAGATGAAATGATGAACATTTCCCTCTGTTACAATATGTACGTCCGCATCAGTCAATCTAGCCGACTTTGCCCGAGCGTTACACATCGGAAATCTGACAGCTCAATCTAATTCAATCTCCACAAGAAAGTGCAAAACGCTCCTAAAGAAATTTTTACTGCAAAAAACAGTGGAGCGAAGTGTGATCGCGTCCGGTTAGTAAACCACGAGCTCCCTGTATATCTCGTAGAAGAGAGGACAAAACGATCACTACTGTCGCCTACAACAGCCTCAAACTGCTGAAGAAGACTCATGACTTATAAAGCCGAAGTCAACAGGCAGAGGAAAAAAAAAATCAAAAATAACTTTAAAGTCTTTATCCCTGCGTTTTAATTTTTTGAGAATGAAAAATGAAATACGACACGATCACTAAAAAAAAATTTTAAATAAAAAAGAGAATTGCAGCATTTTAATTTGTTGAGATTGGACAGTCTCTAAAAACTTTATATAACAGAGATAAATGTAATTATTTTGTATTGATTGAGTTCTAAAATCCATAGAACCGCTTATTCAAACTTGTATGATGGTCTCTCGGCGGAGCACTGTAATAGACTGAAAAGACTAATGAATTGCTTCGTAAGATTTGTAATTAGGACCTTTAGACTCTGTGTTTCCCACCACTACACTGAGTTAGTATGGCTGTTCGTCTTCTTAAGAAGACAATATTTCTTAGGCACATTACTTTATCAAATCGTCGCCCTTATGCCTAGAATCTTCTCCAATTCAATTCCCTCAGTCCATTCCATTACCACAAGATCTCGACATTTTACATATACATCTCTTCTTACAGGCCTACTTCATTCAAAAACTCCTTGCTTACTCGCTCTGCCAATTTCCGAAAATTCCCTCCCTATCAAAGTTCGGCATGCCCCTTCCGTATCCTTATTCAAAAATCTCCCATTCCTAATACAGTCAAGTGCCTGCTGACTACTGATATATATGTATTTATATCATCATATGATAATACCGTTCTTTGCTAAGTATATTACAACAGTACAGTTCCTACATTTGATGCCACTAAATTGAATTATTCATCTATTTAAAAAAAATTTAATTATCACTAATACTTTTTCTTATATACAATTAAACTCGTACACCTTTCTTCCATAACAGATGATCATGCTCTTCTAATGATTTATTTACATATTATCCAGCATTTACATAATTAGATTTATATTGACAGATGCACCTTTCATTTGTATTAGTAAACACTTACAGCTTTTTTATGAGAATAATTTAATTTATTATGTCTTTTTTCCATTTTACACTTCTTGAAGTGAATATTTATGAGGCTATACCATTAAATATAGAGTTAAGTGTTTTTTACATAGTTTTATCAGTTTTGCATGTAGGTTGTTCACTTCAGGTTTTCTTTACTTTCTTTTTTTTTTTTAATTTTATTTGTTGTATCATTTTTTTAGGCCAGAAGCAGTATTTTCTTTTGTACAATTTCATTATTCTAAACTTTGTTCCAGAATAAAGTAGTTTTCTGTATCTATCTATCTGTTTCTCATCTGATGCTTTTAGTTCTATTATCTTTTTCCTTAACGGTCAGATTAGTATGACTATCCAATGAAATTTATAAATGTCATATAGGTTGAAAATTTATTTTTGAGTGACCGATTCAATAACACTATTGATGTCGAACGAAATTACTACATCATGGCAAATGAAAAGAGAAATCTGATTTTGATGAATATAAAGTTTTCTTTCGAACGATATGATGGTGGAAATGTGTGAGTTGAATTATTTTTCACTTTTCAAACGACTCTAGACAAGGGACTGAATTAAATAATTTACTATTGAATGATGCTAGGGAAGATGATTAATTTTTGTCCGATAATAAAGATTATAATCCTCTCGATTAAATGATATTTATTACCCAACTAAATGAACCGACATAAAGGTTATGTATTTGGGTTGTTCGCTAAAAGCTGCGTAATGATTTTTTAAGCGAACGGCTGGATCGATTTTTAAGTTTGATAGCTCAAATCATACGATGAAATCCCGTGTTTTGAAACGATTGGAGCTAAAATCACTGACCCGTGATAGAACAATATATATATATATTATATATATATTATTATATATATATATATATATATATATATTATATATATATATATAATGAAAATATTTTTTTATTATCCTGGGACTGTTGTCCCTTTAGGACAAATTACAGATACAGAATAAATGCCTGTGTGGCCATACATAAAATTAATTATTTACATTTATTATTATGATTAAGATTTTGAAAAAATAATAAAACAAAAAATATAATTATCACACTAAAAACATTCTGATATGTATAATACAAACTATATTATAAAATAAAATAGCATAAGTAAAGAAAATCATTTCTGGGGGAACTTTTAAAAGTTCTCTTATCTACATTTCCTGATCAATAGGGTTGGGAAAGGAGTAGGTGGTTAAAAAGGAGAGATTTAAATGAGGAAACTGATTGTACATGTCGGATATCAGGAGGGATGGTATTCCAGAAGGAGACGGCTTGAATTATAAAGGATTTGTCAAACGCTCAGCAGTTCGGTGGGGAGGTGGATAGAGGTCGAAGGTACGAGATCTAGTGAGACGGGATTGAATGGAATATTTGAATTGTAGGTTGTGAAAAATATAGGAAGGCCGCTGAGTTCTGATAACTTGGTATAGAAAAGTGGCAAGGAAGTACAAACGGCGGTTGGATGGATAGAGCCACTTCAACTTGGTGTAATACTGGGTTATATGCGTATCTCATGAGATTCCGAAAACAAAACGTATTGCGCAGTTCATCAGGCGTTTAAGTTTGGCCTCGAATTCTCCCGAGTGTCCGCCGTACACCAGACAGCCATTGTCGAAGTGGGGGAACACAAGGGAGGAAACCAGGAGTTGACGGGATTTATATGGAAGGAGATAGCGGAGACGGTTAAATTGTTTAAGGGTAGAGATAGTACGACGCGAAATTTGGGAGATGTGTGGTTTCCAGGAGAGGGTTTGATCGAATGTAACACCAAGGTTTTTTACGGAAGTATGGAATGAGATAGGTGAGTTGTTCAGGAAAAGATTGGGGAGTATCTGTATGGATTTGAGGAGTGAAGGAGATCCGATCAGAATGGCTTTCGTCTTATTGGCGTTTAGAGTAATCCTATTGTGATTTGCCCAGGCACATATTGCATTTATATCTTCCTGTAATTTTTGGATGATGGCGCCACAGGATTCGGTTGGATTGAAGGAGAGGTAAATCTGGACATCTTCGGCGTACAGATGGTATTGACAGTGAAGGATAGAGGATGAAAGGTCATTGATGTAGATGGAAAAAAGGGTTGGAGATAAAGAGGTAAAGGCCAAGTGGGCTATCCTAAAAAAACTGACCAATTGCAACACACCTCAAACCCAGCTCATCTCCTTTTCTGCTGATGACCTTAACGCTCAATTTATCTCCTGTCCCTTCTCATCCTCATCTCCAGTGGCTATGCCGACTCCTGTGTGTTTCCCTATAAATTTTAATCCTGATCAATTCTTTTTTTCCCATATTACACCTGATGACCTCCTCAACTCCATTCAAAAGTCACAAACCAATGATTATGGACCTGATAATATCCCAGTCAGATTGATCAAAGCTTCACTACCATCCATCCTTCCAATCCTCTACCATATCTACAATTACTCACTACAAAATGCTACCTTTCCTACATCCTGGAAAACCGCACTAGTTCGCCCTGTGAAAAAGACTTCCAACCCATCAACTCTCAATGATTTCCGTCCAATTTCTCTCCTCTCAAATCTTTCTAAACCTTTAGAGCGACTAGTTCAAACCCAGGTATCAGATTTTTTAGAACAGAATAACCTCCTAAATCCCAACCAGTCCGGTTTCCGGCCTGGCTACTCCACTCAGTCTGCCCTCATCAAAATTTCCCAAGACCTTCATACAGCCATGGACCAGCAGAAACTCACCATCCTTATTCTCCTTGACTTCTCCAAAGCCTTTGGCTCAGTAGACCACAAAATTCGACTAACCAAGCTTAAAAATATTTCCTTCTCAACTAGTACCCTTAATTGGTTCCAATCCTTCCTTTCCGACCGCTCCCAGTATGTTGTAGTCCCCAATAACCCCCCTTCAGAACCTTTACCTGTATCGGGGTTTGGGGTGTTGGATAAGGAATGATGGAAGTAACGGGATTTGGCTCGGCGTATAGCAGGCTGAGTGCTGTTTCGTAGTTGATAGAAGGCGATATAGTCTTCCGAGAGTTGAGTACGTTTAAACCTTCGTCTTGCCGTATCTCTTCTTCTCATGCACTCTCTTAAAGCGGGTGTCAGCCAAGGAGCAGGGGAATGTCGGATGGTTTTAGTTAGGAGAGGAGCATGGCAGTCGAGGATGGTATGAAGATGGTTGGTAAGGATTTCTACCATGGCGTCAATGGATTTACAGGAATAAATGGAGTTCCACTGGAA